GATTGCGGTAGAAAAAAAAAGAATGGGTAGGAAATGGTTATTCAATTATCTGACCTTAGGTTTATAATAAAACATTAAAACACTAATCCCTAGATCCTTAATCCTTAATCCTTCTAGAATAGAGTCCTACTAGAAACAAATTTGCTATTTATTTCCCTTTTTTAAGAACTATATAATTCAAACATTTGAAGCTTCAATGTATGGCCTTTCAAGCAAGAACAAAGTGAAATATTCATTTGGTTGGTGAACAAATAGAGATGAAGAAAGTATCCGTTTATTAAAAATATAAATAAGGGAATGAAGAAGTATTAATTGCTCTTCAGATGTTTGAGAGAATAAGAAGGATATTTTATATTTTATCAGTTAGCTTTGGAATAAAGTTAAAAAAGTGTAGATCGGACAAATACATAGTTTACATGTTTAGAAGGCTTCATCCTTGAATGTAGTGCTATCTGATATATTTATGGTATAATTTGGTAAAATTGATTAGTTGCAAAGCATAAATGGATTTGGGAACAATATCTTATATCACTGAGCTTCAATGAGATCATCCTAAAAAGGGTGTTTATGCATAGAGCTGAGAAAACCCAGAGATGTAATGATGTCTTATTTTATGTCTCCGTTAGAGAAAATTATGCTAGTTCAGGATTGTCTGAATATCTCTCTTTAGTCCCAGAATAAAATAAGAATTTAGGGAGTATCGGGGGCACCTGGGTGGCTCAGTGGGTTAAAGCTTCTGCCTTCTGCTCAGGTCATGATCTCAGGGTCCTGGAATCAAGCCCCACATCAGGCTCTCTGCTCAGCAGGGAGCCTGCTTCCTCCTCTCTCTCTGCCTGCTTCTCTGTGATCTCCGTCTGTCAAATAAATAAATAAAATCTTAAAAAAAAAAAAAAAAGAACTTAGGGAGTATCGAAACTGATATTTGAAGACAAAAAGAAAAGAAAACAAAACAAAAAAAACCTTCCTTTTTACAACCTCTTTGTTATCAGTGAGAACTCTTACTATTGTCATTAGTAATCATAAAGACTGATGTTCCCTTTTCCTTCTTATCTCTTCCTCTTGAAATAACAAAAGATGCAACATTAACTTTTGTGGATCATATTTGATTTACCTCTTTCTAGATACCAAAAATTTGGGGGATTTATTTTGTAAATCAATTAGAACTGCACAAAAATCCTATTCCTTCTGTTCATGTAGGGAGGGATGCCTAAAGCCACAGGATATGGCGATTATTAGATATGCTTTTCTAAGGAGGAAGTAGTAAGACAAAAATGGCCTGCCTGAAGTTACAGTTTATAGATTGGAAAAAGGCACAGACAATTAAAAGATGGAGCTACTTAGGGCAAATTACTTGCAATCAAGCTGCAACTAAATGAGCTTCTTGATGAGGAAGCCAAATTTATGTTGTTTCAAACCACGGAGAGACGTTAAAGAAGTTGAAAGGTGAGCAAAATGTTAGTACAATTGGATCCAGATAGGTTGATAAGAAAAGTTATAGAGGCAATTTAAACAATGTCTTCTGAAACACACATAAGCAGGCACGTGTGCACACGTGCGCGCTCGCACACCCCCCATCCCACAGAATCATACACAAAACACCTCAAAATGGAAGACCGTATGATTATATACACTTTGAGTTTCCGCTTATATTTTATGTAGATGCCCCTTCTCATCATAAAAGCCCTGTGGCTTAAGAAGCTCAATCACAGAATGTAATCATTTTCCCCCAAATCTGCAATTTACTAGAGACATTTTAATTGAAAATGATGTATTGTTTAAACTCCAAACAACTGTGTTTTCACTTTGTTTCTCCCTGCCCTAAATTATCCCGTGGCAACTCTTTGAGTTGATTTTGAAAAAATATATTTGATAATGAATTCAGAACTTACACAAAGCACAGAAACCATGTGAAAGCTTCAAATGTGAAATATCACATTTCTTTCTTTATTGCTAGATATAAATTTTTGCATTCAGGGCTGCATGCTTCATTTTCACTGAAAGCAGAGTATTGTCTACATATATCTGTCTGAATGGAATGACTTCAAGGATTTTGTAATTTTGAAAAGGCATAGAGCTAGGCTATCCTTCATCCCATTTCTGTTGCATTGGAATGTTAGGCATAACAACGTAGACAAAAGAAAGTAGACAAAAGATCCTAATGGGTCATTAGCAAGTACAAGTCTATGTAGAAAGAGATACTCTCCTCCTGGCATTTTCCCTTATCTTGATTTCCTTCTTTTTCCATGCATTCAAGTTTTTCATGAACAGAATCAGGGAGGGGAGGACGGAATTAACAGTTCTTATCTGAAAAAGACAAAAATGAAACAAAACACCTTTCTTCTTCAAATGGTCCACTTCAAGAAGTGAAACTTCTCTAATAATTAAGAACTGAAAAGGATAATAAAGAAAATGCCCATATTTACAGCAATAAATACCATTGCAATTCGATGCTGGCAGGTTTTCTTACAGTTGAAGTGTAATATTGTCAGCATTGCCCTTGCCAGGTCTGCCATTGAAAAACAGTGCAGGAAAATGCCCTTCGGCCCACAGTAGTAACAAAGGGGTCTTTTCTCCATCTGACATTGTCCAGCTACCTCTCTCATTTAATGAAATGTGGAGAAATTAAATAGAACATACTCTATAGGGCACTGAGAAGAGGTTTGGCCCTGAAAATGTAATCTGTATCTTTGTTTCTTCCCAATGAGTTATACATTTTCAGTGGCATATTTTAAGCATTTTGAAAGGTGTCTCATTATATTAAACATTGGCCACAGGAGCATTTGGCCATTCAAGCCATATCACCTGAAAGTGATGGGATTTCCAAATTCTCCCTGAATCAGCCTGGTAAGATCTTAAAGTAGGACATAAATATACAGGATAAAGTTCATTATTAACTGTCCTATTAACAGTTAACTGAGTGACCAAAAATGGGCATGAGTGCCTTTTTTATTAATGACATCTTAATTGTGAGCCTCGTGAGGTAGGTCTGCTTTTAATGAGCATCAAGGAGGACCTGAGCAAGTACCCCTCGAGTCTGAAGAAGCTAAACTCTCAACTGAAGCAAATCCTAGTAAAACCATGGAAGCAGAATCAAGTGACCTGGTTTCCACTCTGCACGCCATCATTATCTGGCTAGAAAACTCCATGCAGATCAGTCTATCCTTCTGAAAAATGCTTCTTCATGCACAAAATGAAAGGGTTGAACTAAGTAATCACTAAGATTCCTAAAACTTTGTGAATCTAAAAATACTTCCATTACCCTAGTTTGTTAATTAGTTAGAAGGAAAAAAAAAAAAAAACTAATAAAAAGTGAAAATATTGGGGCACCTGGGTGGCTCAGTGGGTTAAAGTCTCTGCCTTCAGCTCAGGTCATGATCCCAGAGCCTGGGATCAAGCCCTGCATCGGGCTCTCTGCTCAGCAGGAAGTCTGCTTCCCTCTCTCCCTCTGCCTGCCTCTCTGCCTACTTGTGATCTCTGTCTGTCAAATAAATAAATAATATCTTAAAAAAAAAAAAAAGGGAAAATCTTTGTATCTTTTTTTAAAAGAATTATTTATTTATTTGAGAGAGAGAGAAAGAGAGAATAAGTGGGGGGAAGGGCAGAAGGAGAGAATCTTCAAGCAGACTCCCACTGAGCACAAAGCCCAAAGCTGGCTCCATCCCATGACCTATTTATGAGATCATGACCCAAGCCAAAACCAAGAGTCAGACGCTCAACCAACTGAACCACCCAGGAGTCTCGAAAATCTTCATATTCTTATGTGGAACTGGGACCCATATCTACTTTAGGAATAGCTGGTTCAGTAATGAGTCCCTGAGGTCCTGGGTTGCAGGCTGCAAAGAAGATAATCTCATAGCATTTGGACAAATTGCCTCTTTCTTCTATACTTAAAGTCCTTAGAAGTTATGGTAAATTGCTTATTTCACCCAGGTCTGTAATACATTATGTCAAAATATGTTTATACTTGCCCCCCCACACAGTGCTGCTATATCATGCATCTTTAGGGAAATGGCTATGCCTTTTAACTTGTATCTCATTGTACATAATAAAATTCCCATCACAACTTCACTGGCCTTATTTCTCACTACTTTCTTCCTTGGTTTCTGTCATCCAGTCATGCAGTTGACTTCTTTTGGTTTTCATTTCTTTTGGTTTCTTAAATTTGTGACTTTGACTCCAAATTATGTTATTTGTCCTGTTTTGAATGGTATCTTACCCTTTTAATCCCCCAACTCCAATATATACACCCTTCACCTTGCAAATTCTTCCTCATCTTTCAGAACTCAACTTTACTCTCTCTCAGATCTCCTTGAACAAGATCTTCTTAATAATTCTCCTTTATAAAATAATAATAATAATAACCAATTTTAATTATCTAATTGGTTATGTGTATCACTTATGTACTCCTGTGTAACAACCCATCACAAAATTCATTGGCTTCAAAAAAAACTAAAGAAACTAAAATATATATATATATTATTGCTCACATTCTACAGGTTGGTCATGGATTTCATTTGCTGGTCTCTCCTAGACTCATTCAACGACAGGACCAAAATGGCTTTATTCATATGTCTGGAAGTTGGTAATGATTAACTCTCTTTCTCCAGTATATTAAACTGGCTTTTATACCTCATGGCTGTCTCAAGATCGGATTATAAAAGCACAAGACATTAATTGTGAGGCAACCTAAGATCCAGAATTCACACACTAAACTTGTGTTTCATTCTCTCAGCCAAAGCAATTTACAAGGCCAACCCCCAGCCCCATTCAAGGAGATGGAGAGACAGATTTCACTTTTTCTTGGAAGAAACAGAAATATCACACAGCATAGGGCATGGACAAAAAAGGCATGGTTCATTCTGGGCCATTTTTTAAACTCTGCAACATTATGTATAATTATTCATTTAATTTCTATTTTCCCCACTGGAAAATCGGTATTTGTAAACAGGTACTATGATTTTTTTTAATTAAGTATAATTGACATCCATTATTTTATTATTAGTTTCAGGTGATTCAACATTTATATATTGTGAAGGGATTGCCACAATAAGTTGTGGTCATCTATCACCATATGAAGGTAATAAATACTATTAACTATATTCCCCATCCTATATATTAATCCCCATGACCTATAATTTAATAACCAGAAGTTTGCACTTCTTCATCTATTCATCCATTTCACCCCACCTTTCCAATCTCCTTCCTTTCTAGCAACCACCAGTCTGTTCTCTGTATCTATGAAACTGGGTTTTGTTTCACTTTTTAGATACCATGTATAAGTGAAATCATACAGTATTTGTATTTGTATATGAGTTATTCCACTTAGCATTAAACCCTCCAGTTTCATTCATGTTTCCTTGTTGTTTAAAACGGCAAGATCTTATATTTATGGTTGACTCATATTCCATTGTGTGTGTGTATGTATGACATTTTTTCTTACCTATTTATCTGTTGATGGATGCAGGTGGTTTCCATATCTTGCCTATTGTAAATAATGCTAGAGTAAACATGAAAGTGCATATATATTTTAGAATTGGTGTTTTTTTTTTTTCTTCAGATAGATACCTAGAAGTGGAATTTCTGGACATTATTGTAGTTTTATTTCTATTTTTTTAAATATTTTTTTATTTTTTATTAACATATAATGTATTATTAGCCCCAGGGGTACAGGTTTGTGAATCACCAGGTTTACACACTTCACAGCACCCACCATAGCACACACCATTCCCAATGACCATAACCCAATCACCCTCTCCCTATACCCCCCACCCTCCCCAGCAACCCTCAGTTTGTTTTGTGAGATTAAGTCTCTTATGGTTTTTCTACCTCCCAATCCCTTCTTGTTTCATTTTTTTCCTTCCCTACCCCCCAAACCACCTGCACTGTCTCTCAAATTCCTCATATCAGAGAGATCATATGATAATTGTCTTTCTATGACTGACTTATTTTGCTCAGCATAATATCCTCTAGTTCCATCCACGTCATTGCAAATGGCAAGATTTCATTTCTTTTGATGGCTGCATAGTATTCCATTGTGTATATATACCACATCTTCTTTATCCATTCATCTGCTGATGGACATCTAGGTTCTTTCCATAGTTTGGCTATTGTGGACATTGCTGCTATAAACATTTGGGTGCACATTGCCTTTCGGATCACTACATTTGTATCTTTAGGGTAAATACCCAGTAGTGTGATTCCTGGCTCATAGGGTATCTCTATTTTCAACTTTTTGAGGAACCTCCATGCTGTTTTCCAGAGTGGTGGCATCAGTTTGCATTCCCACCAATAGTATAGGAGGGTTCCCCTTTCTCCACATCCTCACCAGCATCTGTCATTTCATGACATTAATTTTAGCCATTCTGACTGGTGTGAGATGGTATCTCATTGTGGTTTTGATTTGTATTTCCTTGATGTCTAGTGATGTTGAGCAATTCGTCATGTGTCTATTGGCCTTCTGGATGTCTTCTTTGCAGAAATGTCTTTTCATGTCCTCTGCCCATTTCTTGATCGGATTATTTGTTCTTTGGGTGTAGAGTTTGATAAGCTCTTTATAGATTTTGGATACTAGCCCTTTATCTGATATGTCATTTCCAAATATCTTCTCCCATTCTGTCAGTTGTCTTGGTTTTGTTGACTGTTTCCTTTGCTGTGCAAAAGCTTTTGATCTTGATGAAGTCCCAATAATTCATTTTTGCTCTTGCTTCCCTTGCTGTTTGTGATGTTCCTAGGAAGAAGTTGCTGCAGCTGAGGTCAAAGAGGTAGCTGCCTGTGTTCTCCTCAAGGATTTTGATGGATTTCTATCTTCACCCATTTTGAGTCTATTTTCATGTGTGGTGTAAGGAAATGGTCCAATTTCATTTTTCTGCATGTGGCTGTCCAATTTTCCCAACACCATTTGTTGAAGAGACTGTCTTTTTTCTATTGGACATTCTTTCCTGCTTTGTCAAAGATTAGTTGACCCTAGAACTGGAGGTCTGTTTCTGGGCTCTCTATTCTGTTCCATTGATCTATGTGTCTGTTTTTGTGCCAGGACCATACTGTCTTGATGATGACAGCTTTGTAATAGAGCTTGAAGTCTGGAATTGTGATGCCACCAACTTTGGCTTTCTTTTTCAATATTCCTCTGGCTATTCGAGGTCTTTTCTGGTGCCATAAAAATTTTAGGATTATTTGTCCCATTTCTTTGAAAAATGGATGGGATTTTGATAAGGATTGCATTAAATGTGTAGACTGCTTTAGGTAGCATAGACATATCACAATATTTGTTCTTCCAACCCACGAGCATGGAACATTTTTCCATTTCTTTATGTCTTCCTCAATTTCTTTCATGAGTACTTTATAGTTTTCTGAGTATAGATTTTTTGCCCCTTTGGTATGGTTTATTCCTAGGTATCTTATGGTTTTGAGCGCAGTTGTAAATGGGATTGACTCCTTAGTTTCTCTTTCTTCTGTCTTGTTGTTGGTGTAAATAAATGCAACTGATTTTTGTGCATTGACTTTATATCCTGACACTTTACTGAATTCCTGTACAAGTTCTAGCAGATTTGAAGTGGAGTCTTTTGGGTTTTCCACATATAGTATCATATCATCTGCAAAGAGTGAAAGTTTGGGGGCACTTGAGTGGCTCAGTGGGTTAAAACCTCTGCCTTTGGCTTGGGTCATGATCTCAGGGTCCTGGGATCAAGCCCCACATCAGGGTCTCTGCTTGGTGGGGAGCCTGATTCCTCTTCTTTCTCTGCCTATCTCCTCTGCCTACTTGTGATCTCTGTCTGTTAAATAAATAAATAAAATCTTAAAAAAAAAAGAGTGATATTTTGACTTCTCCTTTGCTGATTCAGATGCCTTTAATTTCTTTCTGTTGTCTGATTGCTGAGGTTATGTTGAATAGCAGTGGTAATAATGGACATCCCTGCCGTGTTCGTGACCTTAGCAGAAAAGCTCTCAGTTTTTCTCCATTGAGAATGATATTAGCAGTGGGTTTTTCATAGAGGGCATTGATGATATTGAGGTATGTACTCTCTATCCCTACTCTTTGAAGAGTTTTGATCAGGAAAGGATGCTGTACTTTGTCAAATGCTTTTTCAGCATCTATTGAGAGTATCATATGGTTCTTATTCTTTTTTTTATTAATGTGTTGTATCACATTGATTGATTTGTGAATGTTGAACTAACCTTTCAGCCCAGGAATAAATCCCACTTGGTTGTGGTGAATAATCCTTTTAACGTACTGTTAGATCCTATTGGCTAGTATTTTGATGAGAATTTCTGCATTTCTGTTCATCAAGGATATTGGTCCATAATTCTCTTTTTTGATGGGATTTTTGGTTTTGGGATCAATGTTGTGCTGGCCTCATAAACTGAGTTTGGAAGTTTTCCTCCCATTTCTATTTTTTTAGAACAGGTTCAGGAGAATAGGAATTAATTCTTCTTTAAATGTTTGGTAGAACTCCCCTGGGAAGCCATCTGGCCCTGGGCTCTTGTTTGTTGGGAGATTTTTGATGACTGCTTCAATCTCCTTACTGGTTATGGGTCTGTTCAGGTTTTCTATTTCTTCCTCATTCAGTTGTGGTAGTTTATACATCTCTAGGAATGCATCCATTTCTTCCAGATTGTCAAATTTGTTGGTGTATAGTTGCTCATAATATGTTCTTATAATTGTTTGCTTGTATTTCTTTGGTATGGTTGTGATCTCTCCTCTTCCATTCACGATTTTATTTATTTGGGTCCTTTGTCTTTTCTTTTTGATAAGTCTGGCCAGGGGTTTATCAATCTTATTAATTCTTTCAAAGAACCAGCTCCTAGTTGCATTGATTTGTTCTATTGGTTTTTTTTGTTGTTTTTTTCTTTGTTGTTGTTGTTTTGTTTTGTTTACCTATCGACCCTCCCTGCCAAGACTGATGCCAGAAGCTTACAGCCTAGGTTTTCTCCTAGGAGTTTTATAGTTTTAGGTCTTACATTCAAGTCTTTAATCTATTTTGAGTTTATTTTTATATATGGTGTAAAATAGTGGTACCATGAATTTTTTAATCTCTGCCACATTACCAGTATTCACTGTAGTCTTTGGCATGTTCTAGGCATCTATAAATATTTGTTGAATGAATAATTCAATGAGTGAATCAATGAATGAGTGGCAAATTAATAAAAAAATAACAAACATTTCACAAACTTCTATCAGAATAAAGTCTAATCCACAAAAAGCTATTTCTCTTCTTGACCCCAGGAAAGTAGACACCCCATAGAGCTATCTGAGTTTACCTACATTTTGTTGAGTGTCAGAGTGTTATATTAGTTTTTTATTGCTGTTGTAACAAAAGGACACAAATTTAATTCACTAAATTAAATTAATTCAACATAAATCTATGAGTTCACACTCTGTCAATTAGAAGTATTGCATGACTCCACAGGGTTCTCTTTTGAGATTTTTACAAGGCAGAAATCAAAGTATCATCTTGCTGGACTTTTATCTGTAGGAAGTGGAAAGAATCAACTTCCAGAATTAGTGAAGCTGATCAAAATCCAGTTACTTCCAATTGTCTAAGTCCAATTGCCTAAGTCCTCCTCTCTTGCCAGGTGGTAGCTGGGAGTCATCCTCAGCTTTTCTAGGCCACCCATATTCCTTGTCACACAAACCCCTCCATCTTTAGGTCAATGACATTCATAGAGAACTTTTCATGTGCAAATTTCTCTGACTCTTTCTTCTGTCCTCAACTGGGAGAATCCTTAAAAAAGGTTTTATGTAATTAAATCGGGCCTACCTGGATAATCTATGCAAATTGTATTATCTTAAAGTCAATTAGTTATTTTTTTTAAGATTTTATTTATTTATTTGACAGACAGATCACAAGTGGGCAGAGAGGCAGGCAAAGAGAGAGGAAGGGAAGCAGGCTCCCTGCTGAGCAGACCTGATGCGGGGTTTGATCCCAGGACCCTGAGATCATGACCTGAGCCTAAGGCAGAGGCTTTAAGCCACTGAACCACCCAGGCACCCCTAAAGTCCATTGGTTATTAACCTTAATTACATTTGCAAAGATATTTTTGCCATGTAATATAATATATTCACAGGTATGGCACAAGGGGGCAGAGGTCTGGGGCCAAAATTCTATCAGAGATATTAAATAGCAATAAAGTTAAAGTTCTAGGAGGTAAAAAATCAATTTAGGGGATGAATTTAGGAAAAGATGATTTCAGAACTCCAAGTCAGTCATGTTGTTTCTTCTCTAAAATCAACTACCATTTCATATGTCCACTGTAATGTATCCTACCTATTGACCCTGTAATCTGTGAAAATATTTGTCACACTGAATGAATTTAACCTAAGGTCTTGTCTCTGATAAGGATATCTGCAATTTAGCACACATAGAACAAGTTGTGATATGAAAAGACAAACGCCATTCAATGCTTATAGAATTTGGATTACACAGTATTGGGGGCTGACGTGTGTCTCTTAAAATTCGTATGTTGAAACTCTGTACTCCAGTATCTCAAAATTTTGTGAATAGAATCTTTGAAGAGGGGATTAAATTAAAATGAAGCCCTTAAAGTGATCCTTTACCTAATCTGACTGGTGTTCTTATAAAAAGAGGACATTGGAAATGAAGAGAAACACCAAGCATGTGCATGCATAGAGGAAAGACCTTGTGAGGACACCCAAAAAGGTAGCTATCTGCAAGGCAGAGAGAGAGGCCTCAGGAGAAATCAAATCTGCTTAGACCTTGTCTTGGACTTCCACTCTTCAGAATTTGTGAGAAAATAAATTTCTGTTGTTTAAGGCATCAAATCTCTTGAATTTTGTTACAGCAACCCTAGCAAGCTAATACATAGGTGAAGGGATATTAAAAATGAACATCTTATGAACAGTCAGTGGTAAAAATTTATCAGAAATTTTATTAACATCATTTCATCTATTATTAGATCTTTTTTTAAAAAGGAATTTAAAAACTTGGAAGAAAATTTAGATTGATTAGTTATCACTTCCTCATTATTTTAAATTTCCCAGTGTCAGAGAAAAGAAAGCTAGATGATTAGACAATTATATAATGTAATGTAATAATTGTTATAGCTGAGAAGAGTGAAAGACCAGTATTGCTGCTTATTCACATAACATTGTTCAGAATGATAAAATAATGGGATATTTGTTAACAGAACCACAGATAAATACTACCTGTGACACTGGTTGTCTATGCATTTAAAGCAATGTATTTTATAATGTTTCTAATTGGAAATGCCTTTGTACTTTGGATTCATTCCTTCGTTCATTCGTTCAAGTAATATGTATTAAGTACCTACTTAATGTGCCAGTCACATATTCAGGCAACATTGTTAAGTAGTGTAGATTAAGGCCTTAATGTATTTATGTTCAAGAAGGTGGGAATAAGCAAACAGCAGGCACTATGATGTTATTAGAATATAGAGAGTAAATATGGGTGTTATTTTATATATAAAACACATAAAATTTGTTTATATATTTTTATATATGGTCAAGACGGGATACAGTGGTGCTCATGCCTCAACATAGACTTTGATAAAGAGGCAAATATTCATTCAAATATTTGGGGAGAGAACTTTTCAGAGGCAGGGACCAGCCAGTGCCAAGGCCTTATACCAGAAACAGTCTAAATTTGTGTGAGAGAAATAGGAAGACAAGTTGCTTGAGAAGATGGGGAGAGAAATAATAGATGGAACTGGACTCTCAGGGACCAGTTCTTGTAGGGCCATGAAGCCTGTAGCAAGGACTTCGGATTTTCTGCTTATTATACCAGAAGCCATTGGAAGGTTATAAGAAAGGGAGTAACATGATTTGACCTATGTTTTAAAAGGATTTCTCTGGATACTAGTTTAGATTGATTGGAAAGGAAAAAGATGATTTAGAATAAAGTAGTGGTAGTGGTTGGACTTGGGATTTATTTTAAGTTGACGCTATACTTAAAGAAATCAACTGGTTGGGGCGCCTGGGTGGCTCAGTGGGTAAATGCCTCTGCCTTCAGCTCAGGTCATGATCTCAAGGTCCTGAGATGGAGCCCCACATCAGGCTCTCTGCTCAGCAGGGAGCCTGCTCCCCGCCCCCCTCTCTGCCTGCCTCTCTGCCTCCTTGTGATTTGTCTGTCAAATAAATAAATAAAATCTTTAAAAAAAAAAAAAAAGAAGAAGAAAGAAAGAAAGAAACTTACTTCCCCCCCCCCAAAAAAAAAAAAATAATCAACAGTTCACATTGGGTATGAGAAAAGTCAGTCAGAGCAATTAATATATTTGACCTGAGCAAGTAGGCGACTGATGATGCCACTTTATTAAATAGGAATCAATAAAAGGAAATAAATTTGGGGAGAAAAGTTAAAAATTTTATTTGGCCATGTAAAAGTTTGAGATAGCTGCAAGAGTTTTAACTATTGATAAATTGACAGTTCAAAATAGGCCAGCATCCAGAGAAGTGGTTTGGAGCTAAAAATAACTGACAGTTTACTAGTACAAAAAAAGGTACTCATAGCCATGAAAGCTAATGTGATCATCTAGGAGGGGAAAAAGAGGAAGAACTGAAGTTTGAGGATAAAATTCCAAGGAACTCCAAATCTGAAGACATTTACAGTAAACTTGACTTTTTTTTATTTACTGTTGCCCATATTTTTGTTGTTGGTGGTGTATTTCTGAAGTCAATGTCCTGCATCATTTTGGAACAGAATATTTTTATCTTCCATTTATTTAAGCCACTCTTGCTCTCTAAATATACAATATTTTCCTAAGAAAAGTTGGGTGGATCTGAGAGAGACCATGAAATTTTTGCATGCATGATTTTAAAGAGAAGCATTTATAGCTTTCTTTAGTGGTCTCATAAACTCTAAGACCATGGTAATTTTGCCCATGAAAGAAACAAAGTTATTTAATGCAATATCACCAAATCCCTAAAATGGAATTGCTGTATTCAGCAAGTGTTTTTGAGCATTAACAATAAATTGCACACACCAATATTTACTCTCCACACATTTTACTCTGATACAATGGAATAGGTTCTTCATTTAAACAGCAAAGCAATGTATTTTTTTTTATTCTGAAGGAAAGCAAAAATAAGAAAAAAAACTGTTTGAAGAAAATAATTTTAATATTTAAATAAATCTTCTCACTTGATTTCATTTATTACATGCTGAGTACATTTTATAAGAAAACAAACAGTTATTTTTCTCCTTTAAAGGAGGTTATATAATTGTAATTGTATGTAAGAAAACTGTTGTGGATTGAAAATGAAAGACAAGAGCAAAGAGAGACAATAAAATATATTTTTGAAAGAAGGAGTGGGAGTTGGAAAATTAAAAAAAAAGTGGGGTGATTAAGATAACATTGCTAAAAAATAGTTTTAGAATAATTTTAAAAATACAAAAAAGCTGCCAGTGCATTAGCATATGAGAAAATGTATTCTGAATTTGATTTAAAAAGTGGTCTCTCTTAAAACATGAAGGTGAGAGCTGAATATTTACTTACATTATGTTCTTACTGTTTATTTTATTCTGCAAAGTTCTGAAAGGAGAAGGTCAAAGTCACCTCTCTGAGGTTGCCCTCCAATGTATTCACTGATTTCCTGAGTGCAATTTTATAACTTAATTTCACTTACTCCAACTTGAGATTTTTGGGAAAAGGGAGGGGACTTTTAAACCCGTTAATAGCATTTAATAAGGTACTTTAGACATGAACAATGTTTCATAGTCCATAATAATTAAAGTTACCAGTAAATGTATATGTGTTCCAACTGGAAGATGTAAATTTACTTCAAGATTCTTTCAAAACCCCATTGAATTTAGATATTTACAAAATGATCTAAGTTTTATAGCTATTATGTTAACTAGACCAATTGCTTATTTTATGACTTCAGAGAGTAGACACCACAACCATCATTTTGGAGGTGAATGAATTTCATTAGTCTGAAAATTTCCCTTACATTTGATTTTCTTTTAACATTACCTAGAGTAGTTACTTCCAAATTATGAACTAAAACTAACTCTATTTCAAATCTAATTCAGGACACACACATTCAAACTTTCTCATTCTAAAATCAACAGAATATTATAATTTGATCATTATTTCATAAAATTTTTATTTCATCAAATATGCAGAAGGAAAAGGAAGCTTCTTATCTATTAACAAACAAAGTTCTATTATGACATAATATTGTAAAAGTACATGGCAGAAAGACATAATATAAAGTCTATTTCACCAATCCTTAAATGGTGTTACAAGTGTTTGGAGGCTCCATTTTATTAATTTTTTAAAGTAAGTCCACATATATTTAATTTCTATTATTGTATTAAGAAATGATTAGAGTATATTTCCAACAACATCAATGATCAAGTTTCTCTTTAAATACAGGCTTACCTTGTTTGGGGTCTCTAGGTTTAGCTGTCATATTGGAGGCTGCCAGTAGGTGGCAATGTAATTTATGAAGACATTAGAAGAAAGAAAGCTGTGTGAAGGAAAACGTCTCTTAAAAAAACAATGCAATTTATTATTGGTCACGGAACCAAGTCCAAACTGTAAGTTTTTGTTTGAATATCTTCTTAGGAAAATCTTCTTGTGTTATATTCTAGAATTCTTTTTCACTTGGAAGGAAGAGACTAAAATTTATGAGCAGATGAAGAGAACGTTCTGAAAAGTATATGAATCTTCTAGCTCAGATATTTTAAATAAATACCTGCAATTAAATAAATTTAATTGGCTTGATTTATTTCTTTAATTGAATTGATAAATCCAAATAGACTTTGCATAGAATCAGCCAAAGGCTAGCACTATATGCCTCTCCTAAACATAGACTTTGCTCTCAACCTTTACATTGTGCTTTACCCTTTGCAGGTGAAAAGGCAACAACTTTGTACCTCTCTTGCTCTGACAATCTAGTTGTTAATTAGCAGTGCTCTATAAGGTTTGGTATATATATATATATATATATTTTTTTTTTTTTTTCTAAAATAAATAACCTCATTGACTTCTTGTAACCATGTAATCTGTTATTCAGAAGTTGTGGTAATGCTTTTAATAGTGTTCTCCCATTCCCACTCTAAAAATAGTTTGCTGTTCTTATTTAGTAAATTAGACCAAACTTTGAGCACTAAGTCATACTCTTTTAATTTCTACCACCATTTTGTTTCCTACCCAGGAGAACTATAACCTTCCCAAGGCAGATTTATGTAGAAAAAGAACAGATAAGAAACAAGATCTTAGACCAGCTCTTAAACCAGCTCTACCTTTTATTAGTTCTATCACCTGGGCCAAATCATTTAACCTTTTGGAGCCCCACATTTCTAGTCTGGAAAATGAAAGGATTATTGTAAATAATCTCTAAATCCTCTTCCAGTTCTGCAACATTCTGGTTCTTTGTATAGGATTTCAAAGTGAGTCATCAACTTTATACTTCCTGTATTTCCTTTTCTAAATCAGTCTATGAATTGAATTGGCTTGAAAATAGCTTCACAAGAATAAATTGGTAAAACAGTATTTGAGTGGATCACTTGGAAGAGTTTTCTAAATTGTTATTAAAATATCTATAATCAATGTCAGATGGTTAGTTACATATATGAAATAATTTTCTTTGCACTGCCAATCTTATTATTAAGAGAAATAATCATAATTTTGCAATTTAAATACTTAAATATGGGCACTTGGGTTCGCATGAATATGACATATTATTATCCTTTATATTTTCTTCCCTCTTGTAAGTTTTCTTTCTGGTCCTTGTATAGACTAGCTGTTCCATCTAAATGATTAATGAGTTTTTTTTAATCAACTAAATCCTATACCTCCTAGCTCTAACTTTCTATGTGTAAGGAGAATTAGAAATTATCTTGCACTAGCAACACTATCCTTAAAAAGCAGTCTACCTAAATAAAAATAATGCATTCCATTTGTATGCTATGGTCTTTGGAAGGTACACATTAAATGTTTACAAATAATATACATGATACTTGTCAAGTTAGAGATATGAAATATTATTAGTTATGCTTTGTCTTCTACTTCTCTTGATTATGTTACTTTAACAAAAAATATATATTACATTATTGGGGAAAACACTGACCTATATGAATTAAGGGGGCCTTGGTTTCCTTCTTAGTTCTTAGTATCTAATATCTATGTGTACTTGGTCTAGTCATTTGAGATTTTATATATACATCATGAAGACCTAAATTATCCTTAAGCTTCTTTCTAGTTCTTATTTTTGTATATAATGAAATATATCTTTTCCACTTCTCTTACTTCATTCAGTTTATTTCATAATTTTTTCTGTTGTAGTGAAGAGAGAATCACAGAGATACTCACAAGGCTATCTCTCCCTTACATGGGTCCTTCAGGGACAATTTATGCGTTTGCTTTTGTTATATTGGATCCAAAGACAAGACCAAGCAAAAATGTGTATGATTCTTATTTTAGTTAAATTTAAATAGAAATCATTAAGCCTTTAGAAAACTTTTACTTGGCAATCAAAATAATTGTATTGTATATCCAAGGAAAATAAAAATTGAAACTGGAGTGAATGAGTAGTTGAATCACTACCTATGAAGATATTGCCAGTCTCTACCAGAGAAGAAAGAATGTTCTATAAAGTCCCCACAGAAACCAGCATCTTTAGCATTCTAGTAAACATGGAAATGGATCCAAGGAAGATAGTGTTTAAGAATGAATACCTCTAGGGATGCCTGTGTGGCTCAGTTGGCTAAGTGGCCTACTCTTGGTAGGCCAAGATCTCTTAGTCATGAAATTGAGCCCTGCGTTAGGCTCTGCACTCCACATAGAGTCTGCTTCAGAATTTCTCTCTGTCTCCTTCCAGCTCATGTTTTTTCTCTCTCAAATAAATAAATAAAATCTTAAAAAAGAAAAAAAAAAAAAAAAGAATGAATCTCTCTTTATGTTCCAAAAGATTTTTTGTTAAATTTCATAGGATGTTAAGGGCTTTGTGATTAAACTCGATGTGTTTTTGTAATAAACCAGTTGCTTAAATTCAGAGAAGACATAAAGAAACACAAGAAAAAATGTACTCTATTGTTATCAGGTCTTTAGAAGCAAAGCTGAGAGTAGAACGCAACATTTCTTATTCTTATAGATAAGAGAAAAAAAATCACACCAAAAAAAAAATGGAAGAAAAAAAGAAAAGAAAAAGCAAATAGTCTTACTAAAAAGTAGGCAGAGGACAGCAAAGGAAACAGTCAACAAAACCAAAAGACAACTGATAGAATGGGAAAAGATATTTGCAAATGACATATCAGATCAAGGGCTAGTACCCAAAATCTATAAAGAAATTATCAAACTCAATATCTAAAGAACAAATAATCCAATCAAGAAATGGTCAGAAGATATAAACAGACTTTTCTGCAAAGAAGATATCCAGATGGCCAAAAGACACATGAAAATGTGCTCAACATCACTTGGCATCAAGGAAATACAAGTCAAAACCACAGTGAGATATCATGTCACATCAGTCAGAATGGCTAAAATGAACAAGTTGAGGAAATGACAGGTTTTAGCAAGGATGTGGAGAGAGGGAAACCCTCCTACATTGTTGGTGGGAATGCAAACTTGTGTAGCCACTTTGGAAAACAGTATGGAGGTTCCTCAAAAAGTTGAAAAAAGAGCTACCCTATGACCCAGAAATCACACTACTAGGTATTTAGCCTAAATATACAAATGTAGTGATCTTAAGGGATACGTGCACCCGAATATTTATAGCGACAATATCCACAGTAACCAAACTATGGAAAGAGCCTAGATGTCCATCAACAGATGAATGGATAAAGAAGATGTGGTATATATATGCAATGGGATATTACGCAACCATCAAAAAACCGAAATCTTGCCATTTACAACAATGTGGATGGAACTATAGGGTATTATGCTAAGTTGAATAAGTCAATCAAAAAGACAATTATCATATGATCTCACTGATATGAGGAATTTGAGAGAGAAGACAGAGGATCATAAGGGAAGGGAGGGAAAAATGATACAAGATGAAACCAGAAAGGGAGACGAACCATAAGAGACTCCTAGTCTCAGGAAACAAACTGAGGGTTGCTGGAGGGGAGTAAGGTGGGAGGGATGCAGTGGCTGGGTAATGGATACTGGGGAGGGTATGTGCTATGGTGAATTGTGTGAGACTGATGAATCACAGACCTGTACCCCTGAAACAAATAATACATTATATGTTAATTAAAAAATAGGCAGAAGAATTGAATAGACATTTTTCCAAAGAAGACATACACATAGACAATAGACACCTAAAAAGATGGTCAACATCTTTGATAATCAGGGAAACAAATCAAAACAACAATGATATACCACTCTACATTGGCCAGAATGACCAATATAAAAAAGACAAAAGATAACAAAGTGTTGGTGAGGATGTGGAGAAAAAAAGAACTCTTGTGTGCTATTGGTAGGAATGTGAATTGGTACAACCACTGTGGAAAACTCTATGGAGTTTCCTCAAAAAATTAAAAATAGAAATATCCTAAGATCTAGTACTTCCACTACTGGATATTTATCCAAGGAAAATGAAAACACCAATTCAAAAAGATGTATGCACCCTTATGTTTATTACAGCATTATTTACAAGAGCCAATATATGGAAGATATAAAAAAAGAATGAAATATTGCCATTTAAATCAAAAAGGATTGGCCTTGAAAGTTTTAATGCTAAGTGAAAAAAAGTCAGAGAAAGACAGATACCATATGATTTCACTTCTATGTAAAATCAAAAAACAAAATCAGTGAATAAACAAAAAACAAGAAGAGACTCATAAATACAAAGAATACACTGGTGGTTGGCAGAGGGGAGTCTTGGGGGAGGTTAGGTAAGATGGGTAAAGAGGAGTGGGAAGTATAGGCTCTCAATAAACACAAAACAAAAAAACTACAATAATGAAAAGAATCAGAAGAAAGCTCATATACTAAACATCTGAACATGTAGCATGATAGCTAACCACACACACACACACACACACAGAAAGAGAAAGACCAAAAAATTAATTATCCAGAAGTTATTTTGAGTTTGACATATTAAGTTTCTTCTTTAATTAAAGTAGAATAAACAAATGGGGAAAGATTTATATGTTGGGGGTATGAAGGGGATGGGATATGAAGATCTATGATAAGACAACAAAGAATTTCAGATTTCATTTTATGTGAAATTAAGATTCTCATATAACCATCTAGAAAGAACTAGACACATGCAACATAGTATTATCCCAGTGCCATAAATTTTGGCATGCTCAATGTAGAATCTGAATTTTCTATGAAGACCAATCAGTCATTGGATATGTAGACATTTATATATAGTTAACAATCATGAGATGTGGTGCTGATTAAACCTTTAAAGGTGTTTTCCAATTTTAGGCTAATGATGACTCTCTAGCCCTTAGGTCTTTTTGCTTTCTGTTTTTGTTTTCATCAAAATCAGAACTGACTTAAAATTAGCTACATGAAAAATGGGTGAAATCTTTTTAGTTTATACATATATTTCGTTAATGCTGGTAGTGTGTTAAATAAATGT